GGTTTGGGAGTCGTTCAATCCCATGACCAGAAGGATTTCCTTCCGGTCTAAGAGAGAGAAAAACCTCATCGACCGGAAGGAATCCCTTCTGGTCGATGAGGTATAACAACCTCATCGACCGGAAGGGATTCCTTCCGGTCAATAGGTATAACAACCTCATTGGCCGGAAGGGATCCTTCCAGTCAATGAGGTATAACATCCTCATCGACAGAAGAGATTCCTTCCGTTCGATGAGGTTCTTCTACCATCCTCATCAGCTGGAAGGGATTCCTTCCGTCCATGAGGGTAAAAACCTCATCGATGGGAAGGAATTCCTTCCAATTGATGAGGTTGTTATAAACCTCATTGATTGGAAGTCAATGAGGGTAACAACCTCATCAATCGGAAGGCATTCCTTCCAATTGATGAGGTTGTTATAAACCTCATTGATTGGAAGTCAATGAGGGTAGCAACCTCATCAATTGGAAGGCATTCCTTCCAATCGATGAGGTTGTTATACCTCATCGACCGGAAGGAATCCCTTCCGGTCAATGAGGTTTTTCTTTCTTGTAGACCGGAAGGAAATCCTTCCGGTCATGGGATCAAACGAATCCCAAACCCCCTCAAGCATGAGGGGTGGTTTGGGGCACCGACTCCCTAAAATTTAAAAAAAAATTAAATTTAAATTTAAAACTAATTGGATGGCCGACTCCCAAAGTCAGCCATCGATTTGGAGGAACTACTCCCGCCCAACAACCCCTCGACCAAAATGGGAGTCGTCGGACAATTTTTGGGAGTCGTTTTTCCAACCCCCTTTTTCTAATCCACCATGGATAGAGAGGGAAAATAGCGAGCCACGGCCCACAACCTGATTTTAGCAGGCCTGCTCCAACTTGATCAAGTCCCTCCTGTGAAAATAATAGCTTGGACAATTCAGCTCTGACTCATAAAGTCAGGAGGGTGTGAGAATCAAGCCCAGCTACAGAGCAAGGTACACATATGAATACCAAGCCCATGGTCCCAGACTCCCAAGTCCTGATGCTGAACTTCAATAATATTTTGATGATTTATAGATTCAACCATAGCAATAGAAAGAACTGAAACAAAGCAAACTATTGAAGAGAATATTGGAAAACACCAATGGTGCATTCTAATGTGCTTGACTCTAGCTAAATTAATCAACACTGGTCATAAGTCATAGTGGTAGATCTATTCAGCTTGACTGAAGGAGACAAAACAGTGGAAGAGAAACCGACCAATGCAAAAGGAGAAGAAGGAGGTGAGCCCAAAATACTTATAAAATAAGAATAAGATGAGTGATGAAAGAAACTGAACACATTATTTAAAACAGAAGGAAGAGGTCTTTTATGTCACATCACTCAGGTTTAGGCAAACCAAGAAAGATGACAGTGCTGGAGTATCAGCCTCAGAATTTGATTTTAATTTTATTTCTTATAAATTTAAGAGGAGCAGTCACACATTCTGCTCTTGTGTAGAAATCAACTTTCTATTATCGTGAATTTATCTTTTAGAATATCTTGAGCTCTATCTAACAAAGTAATAAATCTTGGTGCTTGAATAATTTTTCACCTCCTATGTACAAGAACAAATTCCAGAGCTCCTGTGGATAAGTTTGAGTTCATCCAGCCCTAAACATACCCATTTGAAACCTTATAGACAGGCCAGAGAGGATGAAAACTTGTGTGGTGCTTGTTGAAATCTCCAGTGATCCTTCTGTGAACCTCAACTCTCATCCGCATTGTCTGAACCACCGCAGCCGCAAACCAATCTCAAACCTAATTCAATTCTCAACCAGAAGCCCAAACCCTATCGATCTCACTATTTCAGGTATAAAAAGCTGTCATCTTGTCAAGTCTTCCAATATCTCATTGGCTCCTCATTCCTCATCTCAACAAGTTGCCACTCTCCCACATACTCCAACATCACTTCAGCCAACACTCAAGACTAACCATTGTCCCTTCTTCTATCCAGTCCTCTTCTAGTCTTCCAAATCTAATTAATACTTCAGCTGTTCTTTGACTTTTCTTCTCAAACTGTTGTGGTAAATTTTCATCTTCCTTTTATCAAAATATCTAATAAACAAATCTTGTTATTCTCTTGAACTTGTTCTGAATTGTTTTCTGTCCTTAGTCTGTTTCTATTTTCAGAAATCTAGTCATCAAATTCTAACAGTCCTGGTTGAGCGTGCTGAAAGGAGCCCAATCCACCCCTGCTCTGTTAGTGAAGAAATTTGAAGCGGAGAAGGAAAAGTCGGCGATGCCGAAATCAAACTAGGTCTGAAGTATTTTAACCTTGATCTTAATTGAGGAGGCTTAAGTGTCCTCACAGTAAGACTTCGAGGAGGCTCAAGTGTCACTCGAAGGAAAAGTTTGGTCAGAACAGATGGTTTCTTATTCCCAATCATCAAGAATTCTTAAATAATCTATGTACAGTGGGTAGACAGGTAAAAATGGCGTCCCATTTATTTTTTTTAACAAGGCATGCAGGCATTTTCAGACTCCAATCTTTTTGACACGGGGGCACAGGAGGTTGGGGAGAAAGGTTATACTAACCAATTAATTACAAGTGAAATAAAAAAAAAGATACAAATTAAACAAAAAATGTGGATTTTCTAGATGTTTCAATAGTCCTTTGAAAAATAGGGAAAAATAATGGTGAGGTGCGAAGCAGGTAGAGAAGAAACATTATGAAATAAAAAGTCAAAAAAAGTTTTTTTTTTTTTTTTTAATTGATTTTTTTGATTTTTTTGATTTTTCTTGATTTTTCTTGATTTTTTTTTTTTTTTTTTCTTTGTTGAGTAAGTGTAAAGGCTACCATCGAACCGATCCACCATTTGCGTCGATGACAGCTTGAACCCTACGGGGCATTGAATCAATGAGGTGATCAAGAATGTCGCTAGGGAAGTCGGTCCAGGCTTGATTCAACGCCTCGTGCATTTCTGGGACGGATCGGGGCTGGTAAAGTTCCTGAACGTTGCTCTTGAGGACTTGCCAGACGTTCTCAATGGGATTGAGATCGGGTGATTGCGCTGGCCACTCGAGTTTCTCAATTGAATGAGCTTTGAGGAATTCCCGGCTAACCTTAGCTGTATGGACGCGAGCGTTGTCCTCCATTAGTGTTAACCGATGATCCGGGTCGGCTTTGTCAAGGAAAGGGATGAGAGCCTTCTCATAAATGTTCTTGATGAAGTCTACAGCCTTTCGTTCTCCACGGGGGACGACAGTTAGTGGTGCGCGAGTATTACCAAAAAAAGCTCCCCAGATCATTGTTGATGTGCGACCGCTCTTGAAGGTTGGAACCATATTCTTCTGATCATATTTCTCTTCCTTTTTCCTCCAGACAACAACCTGCCTTGAGAGTTTTCCAATCTCAAATGAGGACTCGTCGGTCCACAAGATCCTCCGCCAGTCGTCAGGGGTCCAGTCCTTGTGGGCTTTGGCAAACTGCAATCGATGTTTCTTGTGATTGTCTGTGAGGAAAGGCTTCCTCACAGCAACACGATTGTTGTATCCAAGCTCGTGGGCTCGTCGTCGCGCGGTACGGGTACAGATGGGAGTGGGTAGTTGGTCTCTTACTTCAGCCATCTTCATTCTGGGGTTCTTTTCTAGGATCGTTGCCAGTCGGCGAAGGTCTCGTTCATTTGTTTTCCGGGGTCCTCCAGTTCCAGTAGCCCTTTTAACGGTCCCGCGAGCCGCTGATCGAGCGAGAATTGCCGAAATGGTTGTTCGGCCAATACCAGTCTTTTGAGCAATATTGGTCGGCTTCATTCCTGCATCAGCCATGCCGACAATCTTGGCCTTCTGTTCAAATGAAACTTGCGGTTTTCGTGGTCTTAGGGATCTTCGAGGCATCTGGAAACAGGGATTCATTTGTCAGTATTAACCACAGGAGAGAGGGATAAGGATCAACTGAACTCTGGATGTGATAGACAATGATTTGTGATTTGCAAGAGGTCTTCAGTTGTTGTGATTGATCCGATGTCATAGAGCCACTGGTGCACAGGCTCTGTAGGGGTAAGGTGCACGGGCATAAAAATTCAAAATCACCAATTTTACCCCGCGCCATTTTTACCTGTCTACCCACTGTACATCATGATCAAGTTGTGGGTCTCTAATGATCTATAATGAATAAGAAAGATACAATAAGTATGCGAGATGGGCATCTAAACAATGAGTGACATGTTCATGACAGAGAGAATAAAAGCGATGACGAGTGAAATTCCAACAGTTAGAGACCTTCTTAGGTGATTTTCTCAATAATATTCAGCTGCCAATCCTCCGAACCCTTTTCACATCTGGAACATATCTAGATTGAAGGGTAGAAGGCAATCTTGAGGCTATTGGAAGCCAATTGCTTGCATCCAACCAACAGCTCAGCAACATACATTGATGAGTGAGTTGATCAGCTTCCCTTTCCAAACACAAATCAGCCCAATATGCCATCATTTTTTTGTTGGTACATCAACAGTTGCTGTCCATTTCAACTACACACTTCCCATTTCTTTTTTAGCTCAATATGCTAGTCACAATGTTGATCAAGAAAACTCCCAAACAACTTAGCAGAAAAATGCAACCGGTTATGCTAGTGGATATTGATGCCAATGGGTATCACCGGAAGAATGGATTGATTTGGAGCATGGCAGTCCTGCATTGTGTCCATGTTAGTTTCAAGCCAAAGCTTGGCAGATCTCAGTCAAAGTTTCCAGAAAGTTCAGCACTTATACCAGCAATGGATAGTTCCACTATGTAAACAATGCAAATATCTGGCATTCCACATTACTGGGAAAACCAAATTTGCTTCCCCGGAAGATCTCATAACTGAGGGCTCTTGCCACCAGAGCATATGTTCCAAGTGGATGGCAACATAACTCCATACAATTTTGTCCACATCTTGTCAAAGACTTCTTACCCACACTGGGCTGATAAAGGGCATGAGTTAATACAGAGGTGAGTGTAAATATGTTGACATCAGTTCCAACATTCCTTTTTTCAAGACCCTTGTTTTTTCTTTTTGGCACATCTATTTGTATTGGTGTATTGCAGGGGATTCCAATTGAGCCCCCCCAGAAAATCGTACGTCCTATGCACATCTTTGAAATACAAACTACAACTATCCCACGTGAAAGAAAACTAACAATCAAAGAAGAAAAAAAAAATTGGATTAAACCTATATTATGATGATAATATGGACACCAAAAAAGCTATATGAATCTTAAGGGGGGTTTGATTAGTTTACAGGGACGAGCCAGTGACCAAATTGTTTTTGCTCCAGAGAATCACATCCGGATGAGCCATGACTTTCTTCGGATCAAACCGAAGTACTTGAAGACCTTCCAACGAAGTAGCTCTGGATAAAGCCACATAGATTTGTCCTACCAATCCCCAACACCATCAAAAAAAAAAAACAATGAATGTTAGAAACAACCAAAATGACACTCTGATTGGAAAAAGAAGGCCCGTAAAGACGGACCTTTTTCAAACACTTTTCCTAGATCTACTTTGACTCTTTGTAAAGTTTGGCCCTGACTTTTATGTATCGACATTGCCCAAGCCAGAATAAGAGGAAGCTAATTTTTAACATGAAAAGACAAAACAAAAAAAAAGATGAACAATGGACATGAATATTTCTAAAAGAAAAAAAAAGAGAGAGAGAGAGATGAAGACCAGAGAAAAAGAGGTTGAAGGAAGAGACTGACCTGAGAGCGACGGGATTGGACTTCACCGTCCATATTCTCGACCTTGAATTCGGCCCGTTTGACGACGGTAAATTCGCGCTTGCCGTTCATGAGGAACCATTCGACCAACGGGACCAAGCCACCATTTGATTTAGGAGTAGTCGAAGTATTGGCAGTAGTGGGCAGACCTTTAGCTTCGGCCTCGATCTTAGCGGCGCCTCTGAGAGGCGGGAAGGCGGAAGGTTTAGAGGAGATCGGCCTGGGTTTGATTTCGAGATCGGAGTCATCATCGGAGAAGATGCCGGAAAGGTCGACGGCTTCGGCTTCTTCGCGCGTGCGTTGTTGATGGAGGAGATAATCGGGGGTGATGTCGGGGTCGACGAAGTCGACGACCTTGCCGACCAAGCCGTTCACCAACCATGCCGGGCCATCCTCTCCCGCATGGTTCTTGATCATCATCACTTGTGCATCCTTCTTCAACGTCAAACTCGGCACCGCCATCATGTTCGCTAAATCCCGTGCTCGTTGCTCCGGTGGCGCTTTCCCTGAATCGATCGCCGCATATACTCGCGCTTCCGTCTTCAAGGCCGCTAAGCGCGTCGCATTCGACCGCTCAACTTCGTTCCGCGTCGGGTATAACTCCGTAGGCTCGATCCCATCTCCAAAGTTTAACTCTCGTGATAACTTGTAAAATCTTTGGATCGAATCGCGCGTTAATTCACCCATCCTCATCTCATTTAACATATCAATAAAAGCTTATATTTTAAAATAATAATAAAACCATCACGGTCAGTATACAGATACTTACAAACTTGTGAAGAACACCAATTAAAGAAGAAGAAAGATCAGCTACTCAACTCGAATCTTTTTGTCGAAATACTTGAGTTAAATTAATCGTCTTGGGAATACATTCAGACCAACTGGAAGCATTAAAAGCGAACGAAACTTTGCCTTTCGAAACCGGTGGTAATTGAAAAAAATCGCCTGCAATCACCACCTATTTTTTTCATCCATCCATCCAGAAAACCCACAACTTGTTTTAATATTCATGTACAGGCAAAAAAAAAGGGGAAAGATAGATAGAGAATACTGACTTGAATTCCGCCGAATGGCTTTTCTGATTTCTTCATCTTACAAGCGATGTAAGCTAATTTATCAAACAATTCCCCATCGACCATAGAAACTGCAAGCCCAAAAAGAGTCAATCCGAGAGGGGGAAAAAAAGGAGAGAAAAAGAAGAAGGACGAACTTTCATCGATGATGAGGACCTTAGTACGCATCCATTTGCCGGCGGCCTTGCGATTACGTTTGACCTTACCGAGGAGGATATCTTTAGGTTCGAGAGCGAGGCCGATGCCGGCGAACGAATGGATGGTCGTCCCGCCGATCGCACAGGCGGCCATCCCCGTCGACGCCGTGATCGCCACCGCATCCGGCCGACTCGAATACGACCGCTTCAGTGCCGCTATGATGTGTCGTAATAGAACCGACTTGCCCGTCCCCGCTGAGCCGGTGAAAAAAATCGACTCTCCTTTCAGAACTAGGTCTAACACGCTCTGTTGTTCTGGTGATAATGATACCTGTGGGTTTTCCTCGTCCTCCTTATCAGTCTCTCTCTCTCTCTCTCTCTGTATACTATAATTGTTCGGAAGGTTGTTTTATTTACCTTGGCAGCAATGCTCATGTTGGGGTTATTCAAATGACTCTTGATAATCGCATCTGATTTGTTCTGTTTTCCGATCCCTTGAAGCTGATTGAACGCGACACTTTTACTGGAAGAAGAAGACGAAGAGCCGTTGATCTGATTGTTATTTCTTGGATTTTGCGGGGCGGGAAGTTCCCAAGGAAGGGCCTTATTAGCAGAGGTCGTCCTTTCCAGGGTGTTTTTCTGATTGTTCTGATTTTGGGGAGGATATCTGATGGCCGAGGTCGGGTAGGAGATGTTATTATTGGGCTTTGGTTTTTTGGATGGAGGGTCAGGTTGAGGAGGTGTTGGGGGCCATTCTTCTTGGTCGAGTTGCCAGGAAGGTTGTGAGGATGATTGCGGTGGTGGTTGGGAGGATGGTAGGTTCTTTGGTGGCTGAGGTTCGTTTGATGACCATTGTCTTGAGAGCGAGGATAGTTTTCCGGTCGGTTTAGGTTGTTGTTGTTGTTGTTCTGTTGATGTGTTGCTGTTGTCTATCCTGTTCAACGGTCTCTTGTTGTTGTTGGTCGCTGTTTTGTATGGATACATACTGGATCTACTGGAATCGATCGATAAAGAGAAAGTGAATGGTCAAGAGGAAGAAGGAGAGAGAGAGTCAAGATCAGAAGAAGTTCTTTTTAGAATTTTCAAAAACCAAAGAAAAAAAAAATAGAAAAAAAAAACCAACAAGGCCCTCCTCCAAATCGAAACACCCATGTTTCCCTCGAAAATTCACCGAACCAGTTCACTTCCCTCAGCCAACCATCCTCCGTTGAACAGTCCCTATTCATCGAAAAGAAAATATTGCGTGTTTCATGGTTGGCCACTCAAGAGTCTGGAGAACGAAAGCCTTCACAACAACAACCACGCGACACGAACACGTTCATATAGGCCTTGTGCAACTCAAAAAAAAAAAAAGAAAACTCTGATATATCAAGAGAGATTGACATCAACCGAATTCTTTCATATCCTCCATAGATCATCATCAGCACGTATAG